CTGGTAATGGCTTAGCAGTTTGTATGAAAATAAGTAAGTCAACACTCAACTGAACGAAAGATTGTGTTTTTCAAAAAAGGTCAATGCATCGAACACAGAATTCACAGAAGATGATCACTTTAAACGAGACTTTTGATATCCTTGTGACATAAGACAAGGTCGTTGCATTGAAAACAGAATTCACAGAAATGATTACTTTAAAAGAGACTTTTGACATCTTTGTATCACCATGCATTGTTCGTATGTTAACTTAACTCGTACCTATCGATTTCAAGAAGTTGGCAATAGAAAAGTGGGTCATTACATTCATCATAAAGGTTAGCTGTCAGTTTTTCATCATTTCCTTTCTCCGGTATAACATCTGAATATAAAAAGACGTTTCAGTTACTGTTATTTGTATATTATTAGTGTTTAGTTTCGAGGTCAGTGAGATATATCGAATGAACGAATTGATTTCCAACGTTGTCAGTATATCTAAATATCAATTGGTGGCCACAACAAGAAATCTTGCTGATTTTTTTCTCTTAATGATGCTTAATTTATACATGTTAAAACATGTCTGTTAGCGACGGGACACATTAAACATTTGTTTTGAATTCCAATATAAAACATGTAAGATTCAAAAAATACAAAAGTTTTTTCATGAGAAACACATGAAATTTTTTTTTAATTTTCACCTCAGAAAACCGTAAAATTAGAATATAACAATATTTGAAAATGATAGCGGAAACTGTGAATATAAGTGAAATTCGGAACTGTTGAATAAAATCCACTGAAATACAGTTAATTGCATGTAACAAACAAAATGTATGTCGGTGTCTGTTTTCAGCTGGAGTCGATTCATAATGATCATGTATATTTTCACTTCTGATTTATATAGTTGTTTTTTTTTTTCAATCTAATAGCGCAATAAATTATATTATCAATCCTTATTATTTTGAGACCTGATAATATATGTAACAATGAAGGATATGTAGATAACGAACAGTATGCAATATCAAAGTCCATAAACCAATACAAAATAGAAGCAGAGCAAACACGGACCTCCAAAACATCAGAGGTGGAACCAGGTGCCATGGAGGAGTAAGCATCACCTGCCGACAGGTCACACCCGCCGTGTGCTCATTGTCATAATCGGAAAATAACGGGAAAATCCGTAGTCAATTCGGTGTATAAATAATGGTCTAACAATTAGAATGAAAAATGTCAGTCAGCATTTGAAAAAATGATAAATTGTATTTGCTGACAAAGTCAGTGTATCAACCGTAGAATTTACGAAATTATGACTTTAAACGAGACTGCTTATATTCTTGTTTCATCAACCTCGTTTTAGAATTTGTTCATACGTAGAGCATGCTCTTGCGTATGAATCAACTGAGATATATAAACTCCGTATGAAAGTGATGAAGGTTTATTGTTGCATAAGTATAGGGAAGTTGACGATGGAAAAGTTAAAGTCATCACGTTTATCATAGAGCTTGGTTGTTAGATTACCATTAACGTCTTCTTCAAGTAAAATATCCAAGTATGAAACAGATGTGTCAGACTCTGTGGTATCTTTTATCTCAAACTCACTAGGTTATATCTTATCGACATAGGAATGGAAATTACCATTGTTATTGACAATACGTCGTCGATATACCTGGTATCTAAATGTCGAGTTGAAGGCCACAGCAAGTGTTTTCTTCTTTTCACGCATAAGATTTTGCACAAATTCTGCTTCATATGAATGCAAAAATAGGTCTGTTAATAATGAAGAGCAATTGGTACCCTTGGGATTCCAATAGGTTGTTGGAGGACCTGGTCTCCAAAAACCACATAGATATTGTCAAGCATCCCCAAGCGTCCCGAGCAACCCAAGCATCCTTCTGTTGTCAATTTCAGAGTACTTGTGTGTGCAATGAGAATGTGTTTTAACAAAATAATTTTGCAAATGACCAATGACCAGGTAAATTTACGAGTTCCATTTTAATTGAAAAAGCAGCTGTCAGTGATATCAAAATGCGTGGACTTTAATTTATCGTGGGGAATGGTTGTGTATAAAGTTGAAAAGTCGTAAGTTTTTTCAGCTGTTGATTTTGGTAAAATCTTCTGATTTCAAATTATCCAAAAGATCTTTGAAATTTTTGAGTATCCACATCTGATTCACACCACTACTGGAATATATTTGTTGCACAGTACTTTTGAAGTTTTTCCTTCACCACTGTCATTATCTTATTGAGGTGTAAAGAAATAGGCTTGGTCAAGTTAAAAATTCAAATTTTCAATTTGTACTTTTTTATTGGTGGGAAAATAATTTTCTTTTTCAAAAGTCTAAATTTATCTGAAATGTTTGCCTAGATAGACAACATTTATGTGCATGAATTACAAAATATTTTGTCAACACATCCTAGAATTCCTTTAGCCGTAAAATCTGCTTTCTCTAAGACGCCAATAAAATGGCACCGCTTTAAGATAGAGCTCCTATAAACTTATCAGACATCAATTTAAAGGTTGCATTCAGTGCTCTCCTTGCTGCAATCTCAGCATGTCTTCATTTAATAATTTTAATGAAAAAGAGAGCAATGAGTTCGGGTCTTCACATTTATCGGTAACTTGCGTACTTTTAATGTATCTGAGGAAACACACGACGAGAAGATCAATGAAATCATTTCATCATAAACTTATTAACCCAAATAACCCAAAAAATAGGCAAACGTTTGATATAAACAGTTTATGATGTAACATTTGAATCAACGAATTTAACGCTCACCTATTAATATATAATATAAGTTTTTAATTGACACTGTAATGGTTTTAATTTGGAGTAAGACAATTACAACTACAAACAGTTTATCCAATAGATGATGAACTTAGAAGTATCGGGGGAAATCGTCATTCCTTAATTATGATAATCTTAAAATGTATTTTGATAAGTGCTCGCATTAGTCAAATTGATTCTACATTTATGAGTTGAAATTTACAGTTTGAATTATGTGCATTTAAAATGAAATCAAAAAGCGTAGAGGGATGTTCAACTTTAAACTTTTAATAATAAAAAGATAAAACATACACTAGGCTATTTTTTCTCCCATACGTCTTTTTTTCATAACAAGTGTGAGGCAACAAAGGTAAATTTTCCTCGACATAAGGAAAATTAATGACAAATCGTTCCGATACATCATGATTAGCGCTAACTTGTAAAAATTGTAAAGGCGCAAAAAATGAAAAAGTGATAATTGCCAAGCCTCCTCCATATCATTTACCACACAATGACTTAGAGGAGAGAAACGAGAACTTGGGTTATATCTAACATTACGCGTCAAGTAACTCAGCATGAGAGCTCTTCTTGAAGTCATTCTGTTGATCGTGTTATGATTCCTAAGCCTTTTACTTAGGAATACTGTACACAAACATTGTTAATGATTAGTAGAGAGCAAACTCTTTCAAGGCAACCTGTACTGCATCGGCGAAACGAATAAGAGGAGACGTTTATACACATAGAATTAGCCTGTCCGTCTTTGTGATTACAATAATGTCAACACACTTAACCTGCTTGTACTTTGAAATGTTAATTAATTTCATGTGAACATGATTGAATGTTTTAAGGTATCTTTGATTATTAGATTATATTTATATATACTATTTTATATTATGTCATATCATACTGTATTGTATAATAATATTATTATACAGTAGTTCAGGATCCTATGAGATTTACGTCATTGCACTGGCAAATGATTCCCTGATTCAAACTTTAAAATAGATTAAGTATGCAGGTCAATTAGCTAATATATTTTCAAAGGAAGTCGGACGACTCGTCTTACAGACATTCTGTGAAATCTGCAATTTTCCATGCTCCATAAATGCTTTCGTGAAAGCTGTAATTTATTATTGATGAGAAAAATTCGACTCCTGTCTGTTGAGGTGTTTTGAGTCAGGAATTTTTTCAACTGAATTCCTATTTCAAGAACATATTGGTTTAACAGCTTCCAAGTCAGAACTATATGCATCTGACTTGATTTTTCAAAGTGCTTTCTACAATAAACACCACTAAAGAAACATTATACCATAAATAACCAATAAACACCATGAAGGCGAGGAAAAAACTTGAGTCGAAAAGAGCTTTGTAATTTAAGAGCACAAACGTCTTTTATTCTTTTTTCATATTTGCAAAATCAAAACCACTATTTGAACTTTTCACAATATGTTGACTTTGGGTACAAAATGAGGCTTGTACTCTTGGTCTCTTTTCCTTTTGCAAAAACATAACCTTTATTTTATTGCATCGCGTTCTTTTTTATGTTGGCCTCGTAGCGTTACAAATTTAGCAACGGATCAGTAAAACAAAGCAACACTTCCTAAGTTAATTAGATTTAATAATTCCTAATTAACCTGTATCAAAAAGTACACGATCTAGAGATTGAGAACAAGATATCTTTATTATATTTTTTTGGTTTTGACACAGAATCTTTATTACTGTTTTGAGCTAATAAATCGCTTGTCTTTCGTCTGGGCGAATGCATTTCATGGTGCCAATGTCTGTATAACTATCATTCGGATGCTTCTGATAAATACGCCATCTTTATCAAGCATGGTAGAACATAATCCGGTTGTGAAAAAATATAATATATTCTATAAATTGAATAGATTTTCTTTGAGAATACCATTGTTCACAGAATTAAATTATATATGTAAACTGTTTATATTAAAATGAAAACAATCATTTGCAGCATGAAAAATGTTTTTGTATGGTTTTTATTTTACTGTTAACAAAATACTAGTATGAGGAATAAAGTAACCAAATCAAAAGATTTTTTTTTCTGAGATATGATATTTTTTAAAATAGCTATTATGATAACAGATCTACATGAAATCGTGATTAACATAATTCCGTAAAGTATCCCTCTCTTTTAATATCCAGTTCACATCTAGCACTTACGATCTATAAACATTCTACGTATGTATATAAAAACTTTGTACTATTATTTAAATGCTATGATTTTTTCTCTCAATTTCAGATTGTAAAAATGTTAGTCATAGTGGTAGCAGTATTTGGAGTGTGTTGGCTACCTCTCCATGTTTTTGCGATGTTAGTGGACTTCTACGATGGTTTCCTACAATTTGAAAGTGATCAGGAACATAGGATGGTTCTTATCATGTTTCTCTGTGTTCACTGGTTGGCCATGTCAAACAGCTTTGCAAATCCAATAATATATGGTTTCACGAATGAAAATTTTAGGGTAAGTAGATTTCTTATGATTAACTATTTTATAGCTGAGAGTAATGTTTTGTATGTATGCATGTTTCATGTAGTATATGTTGAATTACTCATGATTTCAAGTGATTACCATGGCCCACTGGCCTCTCTAATGTTAATTTATCTTATGTTAAACAACAAATTCATCCCACACATTTAACAAAATATAGCTAATGATAAACATGAACTGTAATGAGAAAAAATTTAAAAAAAAAAAGAAAAGTAACTTTTTATCATAAGACAAAATATAATTATGTTTACCTATTGAAAAAAATAATGTCATAGGATGAAGAAAAGTGCTAAGACATTCAGAGTTTTCAATAAAAACACAGTCTGACACTTTGTTTTCAATATCAACAACTTCCTTGAAATTCTTCTGGGACAACACACAAGTCAACTGAATGATAACATATTCAGAACAATTGCACTCAGAACGAAGGAACTGTGTTTTCCTCGTATTTAAATATCTGACAATCCTTATCTGAAGAAGAGACATTAATAATGAACTTCTGTGTGGATTTTTTTTGTGTCAGTCTGAATAACAGCAAATTCTACTTCCTCTTCACAGGTCAGAAAGATGCATTTTGTTATATAACTTTACATGCAATGTGTACTTTTCGGTAATGAAACGTATATATCTGCCTACATATTAAATAACATATGACAGCATGTACGTCATCAGCCTTCTCTATATAAACTTCACATGCACATACATATCAGGTGTCAAAATGTTTAAAAAAAAAAGATCTCATATGTTCAGATGCTCACCCCTCCATGGCACAGGATCCCACCTCTGTTGTTTTGGAGGTCCGTGTTTGCTCTGCCCCTACTTTGTATTGTTTTCTGGACTTTTGAGCTTGAAAACTGTTCGTTATCTCCATACGTGTATATTTCATTACAATAGTTTTAAAATTTAAAAAAGAAAATGCGAATGTTGTTAAAATATCATTGAGGATTTTAAATTGCTGTATATACTAACGTTTTCAATTTTTCAATTTTAGATTTATTCCTCCTTCTTTTACTGCAAATTTGTTTAAAACCCGAATTAAACCATGTAGTAATTAGTAATTGATTTTTAGCTCGGTGTCAGCACTTTTTTATTCAAGGTTGAAATTAGTTGAATATTATAATACATGACGCTACTTGATGTATTCCTTATGTAAGGATATTAGCTTCACGCTCTTAGACAAACTAATTATAATCAAAAAGTAATGGCGTTAAGTTTGGTCAAGTTGCAACGTCAAGATATTAAAATGGCACATTTATCTTCATTTTTGTGTTCGATAGTCTATCACATTAAAGTGTCTGAAACAGAATTTAAGTAAAAACCTTTATGTTGGGTCAAAAGATTTTGGAAAGGCTGACAAATTCTCTCCCACTTCTCTCCTACTCCCCCATTTAAAGGTGTTAAAGTGTTTTAAGAGGGGGCTTATGTATTTTCTTTTTTATCGACCAGTCTGCCAGAAGCCGTTGAATTTTGATGTCTTCGATGACGCTTTCATGAGAAATAAACCTATACACTGAATGGATTGAAACATGAGAGAAGAGCTCGGATTCTTTTTTCCCCTTTAATTAAACATTAAATGCAAAGAAAAAAACCCCGGTTCTACATTTCCGAGCACTTAATGATAAAGTTTAATCAAAAAATTACTTTTGCTTTTTGATAAACATACCAAGTAAAAACAGTATCAGAATTAGGAGTTAAATATGGGAACTATGATAATATATTTAAAACATTAACTATACTTTATAATAGAGAAGGACCTAGCAGTACGTATTGTTTAATATGTTGTCCCCACGATGTATCTTTAATACTAGTATTTCTTTTCTATTTAGAATGCTGTGTTTTATTACTTTTCTTTATTTAGGACTCAGCAGTTCTATCTTATATGTGGTTCCCATGATGTATCATTACTTTTTAGCTCACCTGAGCCGATTGATTGATTGATTGTATACTGTTTAACGTCCCTCTCCAGAATATTTCACTGATATGGAGACCTGAGCTTTAGGCTTTTTTCTGATCACATTTTGTCCGTCATAATTCTGTCCGTCTAAAACTTTTCACATTTTCGACTTCTTCTCAAGAACCGCTGGGCCAATTTTAACCAATTTTGGTACAAGGCATCCTTGGGTAAGGGAAATTTAAATTGTTAAAACGAAGGGCCAGGTCCTCTCACAAGGGGGGGATAATCAAGAAAAGATAAAAATAGGGGGTCATTAAAAAAAATCTTCTTCTCAAGAACCAGTAAGCCAGAAAAGCTGAAACTTATGTGGAAGCATCCTGGGGTAGTGTAGAGTGTAAATTGTTCAAATCATGACCCCCGGGGGTTGATCGGGGCTACAATAGGGAACCAAAGTTTTACATAGAAATGTATAGGAAACATCTTTCAAAATCTTCTTCTCAAGAACAACTGGGCCAGAAAAGCTTAAACTTATGTGGAAGCATTCTGGGGGTAATGTAGATTCTAAATTGTTCAAATCATGACCCCGGGGGTTGGGCTGGGCCACAATAGGGAATGAACGTTTTACATAGAAATATAGAGGGAAAATCTATAAAAATCTTCTTCTCAAGAACAAGTTGGCCAGAAAAGCTGAAACTTACGAGGAAGCATCCTGAGGTAGTGTAGATTTTAAATTGTCCAAAGTATAACCCATGGGGTATGATGGGGTCACAATAGGTATTACAAGGGGGAAATGGGGTTAAGAATAGCATGGTCAAAGCTTCTCAGGTGAGCGATGTGGTCCATAGGCCTCTTGTTTTATTTAGAAGGACCTAGCAGTACTCTTTTATATATGGTTGCAATGTCGTATCTTTAATATTACTTTTTTATTTAGTATGTTGTATAATTCTATAACTTTTTTATATTTAGTATTTTTTTTTTACATTTTTTTTTTATTTAGAAGGACCTAGCATTACTCTTTTATATGTGGTTCTCATGTTGTTTCTTATTCCTTTTTTATTTAGAAGAACCTACTAATACTCTTTTATATACATGTGCTTCCCATGCTTTATCTTACTATTTTATTTTATTAAGAAAGACCCAGACTTTCTGTTTTATATGTGGTTCTCATGTCGTATCTTATTCCTTTTTTTATTTAGAAGGACCTAGCAGTACTCTTTTATATGTGGTTCCCATGTTGTGGCTGCTTAGTGAAAATGCTACCAAGGACCACCAGTTCACAGTCACGTACAAAAGACAGTTTTATCATGCGGCAGCAAAGCACAATGAAGCGTGGATATCGCCTTGGACCTGACTCTGTCTATTCCAGACATAACGATAGAATTCCTAGATACTCCTCCATTAGAAACAGTGTCAGGGACAGCAAAGAGAGCGGGTCGGACTAACAATTTGTATCCTATTAACATTTGATCTTCTTTGATAGTTTGCCATATGGTCATCATTTTGTTGCTGAACCTCAGTAGGATCTTGTGTCTAAATTAGAGATCCTATCATATCCATAAAGATTCTTTCTGAAACGAAATGATGTCGACTTTCTCATCGTAAGTTATTCCAAAACGACAACACGTCATGCTTTTACTTGACAACCATACAAATAATGATAACACACAAAGTAATAAATTTCACTTGCACATATGTATATATGTGTGAAAGAAAAGGATAAAAATACATAAAATGCTGAATTAAGAATTCTTTTCAGATTTCAAAAGATGCAATGTAAGTGTTTGTTATTTTATAATTATTGGCAGGTGACAAATATAGATGCCACATCGTATCATCTCTTTGATGTTGAGTTTGAAGAAATATATCAACATAGCGAACATTTTTAACATACCTGAACCATGCTTGTACCCATTCAACATTTTCGAGTGTGTCATTTCGTTATTACCGAATCAAGGATCATTTAATTGTCAATTGTACTCGTATTCATTCTCTCATAGAGGGTCGTCTTTACTTTCTTCATTAATGTTCTTAACTTCAAAGAGTGAAACAGTTATTTGTAAGTGCTAGACATAAGGATAAATCATCTTGGCGTGCTATAGTATTTGTTTTCAAAACAGAAGTGGAAAAATCATACAGTACAAACAGACTTATTGTGGAATTGAAGGAGATGCCAGAAGGAAATTGGTCATTGTTCGATGAGGCAAGTTATAATGATCCCTTGAGGAATCATACTGCCGTTCCAGCAAGAATGTACACTGACAACTTTTGTGGAATGAATGGAATATATATGAATGGATGATACGCTGTACATATATGTGACATGAATAATATCGTACATAACAAAATTTGATTTTATTGTAAATATATAATTTACAACTATGTTTTATCATTCAACATTCACAAAGTTATAGCTATAATTCCTTCTGAACATACATTGATTCTTTTAAAATATACAAATAATGGCATATTGTACAAGAATCCAAGGTTGTTTATATAAAAAGTGTTCTCATGAAATCACCCACGGAAGTTACATTTGCATATCTAAAACGGAGAAACAGATGATACATCTATTATAGTTTCACGTATCAAATTAAAGACCATATGTTAATCATATAGAGATTTTTAAATGAAAGGCAATTTGTAAAATAATAAAGAAAGGAATGTCTGGAAGTGTCAAAAAATTGTCAGAATATAGAACTTCGTGTTCATCCCAAATTTATTTCCATGTGGAAAAAAAATATCAGCCAAACCATGACAGTCTTTCACTGTTAGAGTGGCAGTTTTTGATATAACATATGCATTATATACAAAGGCAAACATTAAATTACCAAGTATATATGTTTGTTGATGGCATATATATCTTTACACGCGTGAAGAATATCTTTTAGAATGACACAGGCTTCTTTGCAGTATCAATTTATGATAAAATAAACTGTTAGCACGATATCAGATGCAAAAAGTCAAAAGTATAAGTATAAAATAAAAGTGAATAAAAAGGATGGGTCGAATATTAATTTATCAAACAGAAGTATCCTTTGATAACGTGACGAGAGATGGTTATTAATTTTAGTTAGATCCCGATTTTTATCATGGCATTTTTGAATGCAAATTTATCATTAAATTCGTTTCAGGTTCATATGGAGGTAATGTTTATATATTTTTTGTTTCTTGGAAATACATCAAGATTTGATATTTTATTTCCTGGAATAAAAATCATGTACAATTTACAATAGTTTTTTTTCTTGAAATGGTAAATGGTTATTTCTTCATCTTCACACTGCCAAAGATTTTTGCTGAAAGGTCTCACACGGCCGATATACAAAAAGTCGCAATTATTTTCTTTTCTTTTAGGTAATTCAATTGATAAGTGAAAAAATCCTTTAATGTGTAAGAAATTGTGTTCTAAAACGTTTTATGAGGCTTCATTTACTCCTCCGGGGGATAATTGAGAACGTACAAGTCATCCATCGAGTAAGTGTGATTAGAACTTGGTGAGTTCAGGGTAATGAACACAAAGTGGTATCTTTCTAGTAACTGTGTACTATCGATTCTAGTAACTGTCGATAGTATCGATTCTAGTAATTGTGTACTATCAATTCTAGTAACTGTGTGCTATCTATGGCACGCCAAATTCACAAAAATGAGCTAAACATAGTTTCACAGTCGATAAAATAGGTTTAATCGGTTGTAAACTATAGTTTACGGACTGTAAACTATAGTTAACAATGTTAATCTATATTTTACATCTGTATAGTTTCACGATTTGTAAACTATGGGTTACAACTCTTAACTATAGTTAACGATCTGATAAATATAGTTTCACGATTTGCGAAACTATGATTAATAACTGTTAACTATAGTTCACGATTGTAAATTATAGTTTATAGACGTGAATCGATGTTCAACAAAATCTATTGTTAACGTTTCATTACAGACAGATAAACTTAGACTGGCATTCGTACACTATAGACAACCGTTAAATATAGTTTTACAGATGAAAACTATAGTTAACGAATTGTTTCCTATAGTTCACGGTTTGTAAACTACAGTAGTTTACAGTCGATAAAACTAATTTATCAACT